GGAGGGAGGAGGGAGGGTGGAGGAAAAGGAGGATTAAGATCTTTTATTTTCCCGTAAAATCGGATTAGAGGTTTTTCACTCGTGTTAATTCGTTATTGTTTTTTAATGTATATTTTTATATTAATAATAATAATAATAATATTATTACTTTTATTATTATTATTTTGTTTATATTATAAATTTAATGTCGGATTCGCGTAATAAAATACTTATCATTATTATTATTATGATTATTTTTATTAATTTTTAAGTAACAAATTATTTTAATGTAAACGTTGACATAAAAATGTTTTTATAGAGATGTTTTTAAATAAAATATAATTAAAATTACCACGATAATAAATAAATAAATAAAATCTTTGAGTAATAATAATAATAATAATAATAATAAATTTTATTACCGTCGGTTTGTTGAGTAATAATAATAACAAAAATTAAATAAAATTTTTTATTGTGACATTATACGTACATTTAAACATTTAATACCAGAAGAATTAAACTAATTTTCGAAGAGAGGAAGAAGAAAAAAAAGAAAACTCAAAAGAGGTCAAAGGTTAATCGGAAAATTTTTTAAATTATGTTGGTTGAATTTGTAAAAGACAAACAACAAACTCTCAAGTGTAATTCAACTAATAATTTTTTAATTTTAATAAAAAAAAATTTACCAACGATTTTTAAATATTATTATTATTATTATTATTATTATTATTATTATTATTTTGTTGATTGTTTTCTAGAATTTTCTTTTATTTGTTTAAACAATTGTTCAAACGTTTTCTTACTTAAAAAAATTTTTTTTTTCTCTATACGACATTAATTTTTTTTTTTTTAATTTACCATTACTCTTAAATAAAAGATTTATAAAAAATTATTTATTAATTTTAAACAGAGATAATAATAATAATATTAATAACAACAACAACAACAACAATGATAATAATAATAATTAAATAAAAAATTTAATATATATATAGAAAGAGAGAGCGAGAAAGAAACAACCGACAGATCAACCCTTAAGGTAAAAAAAAAAACCCTCATAATATTTTTCAAAATCAGATAATAATAATAATAATGATAATAATAATTAAATAAAATTATATCAATGTTTCAAGTTCAAAAGGCATAAAAGAAAAAATATAAATAAAAAGAAGGAAAAAAAAAAAAAATTATTATATTTGAAATGATTGAATATGATGTTTAAGCGGTGTGGCGGCATATCATTGAAACGGTAGATTTTTTTTTTTTATTTCGGGTAGATGATTTCACCCCTTCAACCCTCTTACACGCACACATAAACACGTAAAAAAGGGTGAGAGAGAGAGAGAGAGAGGTATTCTTTATACATATTTGCTAAATAATAATAATATCAATTTTATATTCAATTTTTTTTTTTTTATCAGATTCCGTGTAAAAAAAAAAAAAAGAAAAAAAGAGATCATTAAAAACGACAACCGTGACAACCGTTGAAAAGTTGGCAATATTTTGTCATTGTCGATGAATTTTTTTCTTTTCGAGTGTTTCTTTTTTTTTCTTCTGCTAAAAAACAGTTTTTTTTTTAAGTGTCCTTTATTTTTATATTGTGTTACCTATTGAAAAAAAAAAAAAAATTATTCTCCGACGACCGTTTTAATAAAATAAAAAAAATCTCATTCTTATTTTTTTTTTAAATTTTGTTTACGTACAACAAACGCACACCGAAAATTTTATTCACACTTTAATATTATTATTATTATTATTATCATTATTATTATATGTAAAATAGATTTTTTTACAATAAAATTTAATTAGTTTAATGTCGTTAAATAAATTTAAAAATTATTTTATTTATGAGAAAATTATTTAATAAAAATTATTTACTCCGAGTAATAAATAAATAATACGTAAAATTATTTGCTATTATCAAATGTTTAAATCAGCTGATCACGTGATAAGAGATTTTAATAAATAAATTATTACTTATTATATTTAATTCAAATTTAATATAATTAAAAAAATTTTTTTTTCTTTTTTTCAGTTAATTATAAAATTATTGTTATTAAAAAATTTAATTATTATTTGTTTTCTAAAAACTAAACTAATTAGTTTTTTTTTTAAACAATTTATTTTTTATTGTTTATTAATTAATTTTTAGTTTATTGATTTATTATTGATTTTGTTATTTTAACGGTTTTTTTTTTTTTTAAATTGCTTAAACATAAAAAAATCAAACGAAAACGGTTTGATTATTTTTGTGGTATAAAATATCAATAATATTATTAAATAATTCGGTCCTGATGATGGTGATGATGATGATGATGACGACGATGATGATGATGATGATGATGATGATGATGATGACGATAAAAAGGTAAGTAAATAATATTCTTACTATACAAACTACTTAAAATTTTAGTTAATTTTTTTTCCAGAGAAAATTTTTCATTTAGACAACAATACTAAAGCTATTTTATTTCTTTTTGAAGCAGAAGAATTTTCACAATAATGCCATTTTTGTCAAAAATTTCAATGATAAGGAGAATCTTATCCATTTTTTATTTTCTGCAAATTATTAATAAAAAATAGTTTCTAATAACATAAATTTAAACAAACAATTAATCAAATTGTCGCTTAACCGCCATCGCCGCCATCTTTATTATTTTATTCTTCTGCAAAAAAAAAAAAAATTGTAAATTTAAGAAAAATAATTTTTTGTCTTCTTATCAAAGGTTAATAAACTTTTAATCTTTTTTTTTTTCAGGTTTATTCAACGGTCGTCGTTGTAGTCAGAATGAAAAGAATATTTTTATCAAACTTCAACAGGTAATTATTTTCTTTTTTTTCGGGGGGGCGGGGGTAATTATGGGAAATTTGTACGTATTGAAACATTTTACTGAAATTTCTGTTTTCCGTTAAGAAATTAATTCGTTAAAAAACCCAAACGTAATAATAATTTTTTTTTATATACGTAAAGTGTACTTAAAAGTACTCGACTTTAACTTTTAAAATTTTTTTTAAACAAATAATAATAATAATCAAAATTACGGTTTTGATTAAGATGAGAAAATTTATATAATGATATATAATGATATATAAGTTTATATAATGATCTCGTGACCTTTTTAAAAAACAATCACGAAACGTACGAAAAAACGTTTAAGAATTCAAAGAATTAAATTTAATCTTTTGTTTAAAAAATGATTTACAGGTTAGAAAACAAACAAACGGAAAGTAAAAAGCTGTTGATTAAAATTTTCTTCGGTTAATTTATTATTATTATTATTATTATTACTATTATTCAAACACACAATAAATAACCCGGTTGTGCTATGTAAAAATAATAATAATCGTGAAAATATTCAAAGTTATTGGGGTTGTTGTGTAGTAATAACAACAACTACAACCCTTAAATCATTTTTTTTTAATGACGTCATTTAAAAAATTTTTTTTATTTATTGATGTTAATTATGTAATCCGGTTTCTTTATTTATTTATTAACAACAATTAAAAGCGGCTATTTTAATAATAATAATGGTAATAATAATAGTAATAATAATAATAATTTTACTATTTAGAATTTTAAAAAAAAAAAAATTTGTTTACTCTATGACGAAAAAAAAATTTTTTTTAAAGAATCTTCTTCCTCCATCTTGTTTTTTTTGTCATATTTTCCAAAACCCCTTCTTCTTCTGCTTCTTCTTCTTCTTTTTCTTTTTATTTTTAAACTTTAGTTTACTAAAAAAATTATAATTTATATGATTTAAGTCCAAATTTTAGTTGTTGACAATTTTTTAATCTCTTCGTTGATACTAAATTGTCCAAAAAAAAAAAACAAAATTGAAAAGGGGATTTATATAAACCGCTTTACGATGTAAAATTGCCATCGGCAAATGTCAATTTAAAAAAAAAAAAAAAAATTTTTACTCCTTTCAGGGAACCGGTAATACCCAATAAATTTTTTTTTTTTTAATCTTTTCCTCTTAAAAAAAATGAAATCCGTTGCAAATGTTTTGCAATGTATGCGGTCAATATATAAAAAAATTTTTATCCCAATCTTGTTTTTATTTGTAAACATGGCTTACCTTTTTTTTTTTATACGAATGGTATAAGATAAAAACTATGTTTACAACAAATATGAATGAAACAATAACCCTTAAGAGAGAGAGAGAGAGAGAGAGCCCTATATAGTAGGTTCGAATAATATACCGAAGGCTAAACGCTTTAGGGTACCGAGACGGTCATGGCTGTCAGTCCACGTCATTTTGTATTTTCCTTAGATTTTTGACAAGTTTTATATATAGGGGGGGTTATACGAATTCGTTACAAGTTGAAGTCAACAATAGTTTTTAGTGTTTACTATCCGTATTACAACAACATCTCCCCGCAATCACCATCTTTCTTCCTTCTTTTAACAATAAACGTGAAACAAAACAAAACAAAAAATTTTTTTTTTACATGTAATCTAAACATTCTGTTTTCGAAAATGATCTCCTTATTATTAAATTTCACGGTTATCATTATTTTATAATTGAACAATATAAAAAAAAAAAAAAATTTTCCTTTCGAGAAAAA